AGTAAGTTGGGGGAAATGACAGGAAATTAATTTAGCCTCTTTCTTTCTTTCTTTCTTTCTTTCTTTCTTTCTTTCTTTCTTTCTTTGAATTTGTTTAATTAAAAAATGCACATATACATTATTTTTAAAGTTTATTGTTTCCAAGGGCTACTTCTGTAAGATTTTCTTCTAATTGAAAAAAGAACCAGCCTTTGTTTCAGGACACAGTTGTCCTGTGCACATTTGTTGTACAGAAGGAATATTGCACAAATTTGTTTCCTTGCTGAATTTTTTAATTTCAGCATTTGTGTGATTATTTTAAGCTGTTGTGAGGTGGATAAGGGACATTTTAGTAGCTAGACTAATGTACATGAAGTATTTTGTTTTGTTGTTTACTTCTGGTAAACCTATTGAATTCTATGGGACTTGCTGCGGAATAATTAAGTGCATATAGAATTTCAACATTTCTTATACTGTCAGGCCTCTTATACATATTAGAAGCATGTACTTGTATATGTACCCACACCCACACACTTCTTCATCTTCTTTAATTTTTTCAGCATGTGGGTAGATAATCGTGATGGGTTTTGATGATGGTGATCAAAGTTGTTCTTCTCCTAAGCCATGCTTAGACTGTAATGCAAAATGAAATGATCGTTTTTTCAAGGCTTCTACAAGGAGCATGACATTTTTCACATCAGAATTTAATGCTCCTCTACATTGGGGGTGGGGAAATGCGTCCCCTGTTTGTTTTGATTGAGTTACATTGAAATAGCCAAAACTATATATGGGATTTAAAATATAGGTAGCTCTATGACCTTAATAAGTTTACATGAGTCTTCCAGTTGTCTGAAATGATCTGAGCTTCTGACTGCCTGTATTCATATATGAGTGAAAATCTGATAGAGGTGACAGCTGTAAAGAACAGCCTGAAAAAGCACTGAATGGCCCTGATGGGGATTACAAGCTGTATTGTATGTTGCACATTGTGTATGAAAGAGAATGCCAGGAAAACCTTATTGTCAGATAATAAAACAGAATAAACAGAAATATGTGCACTGGGTCTTAAAACTCAGCAATGGCCTAAAGAAGGGAAATGGTTGAATCAGCAATGCTTAGAATACTCCCCAGCAATGTCACAGTTTTATTATCAAGTGTCTCAACATGAACTCTAGCCATAACAGCAGGAAGTAATAATCATTCTTAGTGGGAAGCTGATTCAGGTGGCAATTTTGGAAGAATAGATGTGTTACTGTGTTTGAGTAAAAGCAACAAAGGAGCCTCATGACAATCATTCATCTGATGATTTAGAATCCAGTCTGTCAAAGCATGCACCATGACTGGTTCTTATTTTGGTTGAAGTGACAACTGAGTTTGTTTTGGTGAAAACTAAAAAAGAGAGTTGTGCAGTGAAGAGCAATTCCAATTCTTAAAGACATTTACTGTAGTTTCTTAAGAGGACATTTCTGGAAACATTCTGTGAATCTTTATAACATTTCTGAAACGGGACTTATAAACTTGTGTTTTGAATTGATATACTTCCTGCTTTTGCATATCTTGATTTCATCTGCATCATTGTTCTCTATAATTTCATCAAATATATCACCTTGTGGTAGAGCTGAAAACCAAAACTGTGTCTCCTGCTTCTCTGAGTGGGTTTAGCCACCATGCTATTACCATTCCCCATTCTTCAATTACATTAAACCGAGCTTAAATCACTGACAATGTTTAGTCTCTACCCACCCACCATGCACAGTAATACAGGAAAAATAAGTGACAATAATAGCTGGAGAACACTCTGGCCAACTGTTTAATATTATATGCTTTGTTATATTTAAAAGAGTTTCTTTGCAGTCTGTACTGTAGAAGAGAAATATGATAGAAAATCCTTGGAAGCTCCAACTACTGCTTACTTGTTAGTTTTCAAAACCCACATAAATTCAGTACCTGTGGTAGAGGGCAGGTTATCTGGAGAGAAGTATTGCCTGTTTTCTGACAGTCTTCCCTTGTTCTCCCTCTCCCTGCTGTCAGTGCAGGGCATGATTGTGACTTTAAGGAGCAGCCTGCTCTTACCTTTTCAGAATGCATGGGATTTCAGAGCACAAACAGCAGCATGAGTTCTGATTAGCCCTTCTGTGTTGTAAGCCTATGGCCAGAATACTGTGAAGAGAGAAAGATGAATAAGTACAGATATGGCAATACATTCCTAACATAGGGAATATGAGGTAGGTTTTTTTAAAAAACAAAACAAAACAAAACAAAAAAACCTCATCTTCCTTGTGCTATTATGCATGCAACATATTCATATAAAAGAAATTAATATTTCATACAGCTCATATGATCATCATAGTCAAGATTAATCTTGAAGAATTTTAGGTATGGTTAATGAGTAGCCTTCTGTGGGGCTTGCAAGAAGTTCTGGTTTTGGAAGCCATACTTTTTTTCAGAATAATAAACCATTTTTCCTTCTCTTGACATGATTTCCAATTTGTCCTTTCTTCCCTCCTCATTGACATTCTATAGTCTTTTGTTCTTGAATACGATTTAGCATTTTCAGTGCACATTTTGATGGCTTTTGGGTGGATCATACTTTGCCTAAGCATGCTGGTGGTCAAAGAACTTGAGTGAGTTCCTTCCCCAGCCCCTATACTAGAGTTAGTTCCTAGAATCCCCCCAACACCACATACAGGTAGTATTGAATTCTGGGAACTGTGGTCCAAAAATGTAACATTTTTAAGCCCTGACTGATACCTCGCTTATATTTCCCAGGGTCTGTATTTTGGTTTCTGTATGGTCATCTGAGTTTGCTATTAGGCATAAAGGTGGTTAAATGAACCTTAATACTAAGTGACAGGATGTTTAGAACTTTGTGACTGTCAGTGGGGCCATTTACTGGAGTTAGAGCATTAAGATCAGCTGAGGAGGTCCTGCTCTTGGTTTCGCTGCTCTCGCAGGCACGACTGACGGGGACAAGGGAAAGGGCCTTTTTGGTGGTGGGCCCTTGGTGGTGGAACTCCCTCCCCAGTGAAATCAGATCAACCCCTCCTGACATTTATGGAACTACTTAAAATGTGGCTTTTCAAGCAGGCATTCAGGAAGTGAGATGAAGCAGTCAAGATAGCTTTCAGATAGGTGCAATGTTAACGCTTTTATGTTTTATGTATGTCTATGTCCTATGTTTTATAGTTAATTGGTTTTAATCTATTGTGATATGCTGTTTTCATCATGTGATGTATTTTATATTTTTGAGGCATTGAATTTTGCCATTTACTTTGTTGTGCACCACTTTGAGTCCCCCCATGGGTTGAGAAAAGCGGTATATAAATGAAATAATATAATATAATAGCATGGGGAGGTTGCTGACCTTTCTCCTCTCCATCCTTCCTTGATTAGGATTTACCTAATACATTTGGTTAGAGATTATAAGAATGGGGATGCTGGATCCAGAAATACCTTTACACCGATCCAGCATGGGTATGTTGTACATAACAATTTTTGCACACCATTCTATTAATTATGGGAAGATTCGAGTCAAGTACCCCAACTCACTCTTGAGCAACCATTGCTTTCACCATGTGCACCATTCTCATATTGTTACCACCATACCCATTCCCTTTCTCTGGCCAATCATACTGTGTCTGGATAAAGAGGAAGGATGGTAGTAGTTGAGGAAGAGATTTCTAAATGCCTTCCTTCAGCACAATACACTATCAGGAATATACATTACTACCCACCCTGCTTTCCCTTTCTCTTGCCCTAAAAGGCTGGGTGTGGGCAGGAGAATGTGAGGTGCCCTAAAGAAAATGCTGTGTACTTTCCAAATGTATGTACAAAACAAGTGAAAAGTACAAAGAAAATCACTGGGCTGAATAAAGTACTGTTCATGTAATTTCATGCAGCAGTGGCATTGCTAAAGTATATTTAGCATACTATTTCTTCTTTCAGTTAAAATGTTGGGGAAATACTTCATATGCTATGTGGATTTGAAACCTCTTCTATATCCTTTGAAGCCTGTGGTTCCTGGAAGATCATACTTTAAGCATATTTATCCCTGACCTATTTCTTCATGCATTACATGCGGAAATGATGCCACATTTCCTTAGGCTATGTTTCCAAGTACAGTTACTTGGAATTAAATCTCTAGAAGTTACGGGAAGATGCTTTCCAAGAAAATGTGTTTCAGGTTGTACTTCAAATAAATCCTGATGAAGGTAATAGCCATTCAACGATAAAGCAACATTAGATTGCTTTAATGAATGCCTCTTTGAAGACAATAGCGCTTGCAAGCAATTAGTGTTACTGTAATGGTACCATGGCAAAATTTTAATTAGTTTGATAGTTACATCTCTAGAATTATATCAGTGTTACATCACTATCACCAACAGAAAACACTAAAATGATTAGTGTGTCCTCCCCGCCCCTCTACCCCTCCCGTTCGATGAGAATACATGAGCAAATGCTGCCCCTGATTAAGTATCCACACCACAGTCTATAGAGCCAGGAGACAGTTAAATATTTTATGTGATCAATGCAGTATATGAAAATCATTCGCTTTTGTTTCCTAAGTATCAGTATGTTTGGTGGGCAGGAGCAAACCAATTAAGTGGATGCATTGATGCAGGTTAATCTAGTAAGTCTTCCCCTCCCCCAATGTTTTCTTCCTCTTCCTCTATCAAATTAATTCCTATAGTAATGTGAAATATGCATTCACACAGATTTAGTATCTTGGTTCTTTGCATTACATCGCTTTCAACATTGATTTCATTTAACATTTTAATCCTTATGTCACAGCTTTATATTGATTCCACTGGCTCCAGGCATATGGGCTGGCATGCTAATAACTCTGAGATTTTTATTTTTGTATTATTTTTGGTGAGGTGAAGTTTGATTTCTCTTGACAGTTCTGATTGCGAACTGAGTTGTATCTTATGGTGTAAGAACCAAAGACAGGAACCACAGCTAAGACCTATAAATATGAGAATTTAAAAGAGAGCCTGAAGCCCCCAGTCTTGTGTTTCACATGCTTACTTTGTAAGAGAGAGCAGGACTGCTCTGATGTCTCTCCCAGATAACGGGCTCTGCCTGCTTCAGTCCATTTTTCAGCAAGGAAAAGCTTGTGATTTAATGTTGAGTATAAAGCTTCAGAAGACCAGCAAGAAAATAAAGTATCTCACATGGTGAGATATAAAATGCAGCGGTGTAGATTTTAGAGGAGATGGCAGAATTTACGGAAGCTGGCTATCCCAGGCAATTGGCAACGGAGAGTCAAGGAGACAGATTTAAGACTCACCAGAAGGAAACTCTTATATCAGTGGGAAGAAAGTCAAATGCCTGGCAAATGCTTGCTGCTGTCCAGTAAAGTGTATTGACACTGAAAAGAAAATGTAAATAAGATGAAAGAAGCCCAAGTTTATTGTGGCTGGATGAAATTCAGGGAGACTGTCTTGCTAGGAGGAAAGAGAGGATGTGTGTGAGTTGGGGGAAACCATCAGTGACATTGGGACAAATTCTGGAGGAGCTGTCACATTTGCTGGTAAGTGGCTGAATAAATTACTATGGAAGCTGAATAGCTTGTAGTGTAAAAAGACCGTTTAGAGATGTTGTTGCCTTTAGCAACTTTTTTTGATGGCTGAGCATGTTAATAGCCTCTTTGTTCAAGCTGTAAAGCAAAACATATTCTGTGGCAAGTGGTTAAAATCACAGTAGGAATACTAGAAAGAATTAGGTTCCCTCTGTGAAATAGATACTTGTTTTATTTATTTATTTTAATTTAAGGTGAGGAAAGTAGTAGCAATAATGCTATCCAGTAAACAGCACACATGTGCAGTATCATAGTATGAGTCAAATTTAAAATACTATTAATTCTCACAGCTCAAATGAAAGTAATGTGTCTGGAGGTCATAGAGGTATATCAAAACACACTTTGTTGCTGAGAATGGGACAATGTGTGGACAAGGTGAATGATTAGGTATTAAAATGCTAAACCCCCCCCCCCCTTTTAAAAAAAGTCTGTGTACTTTTCAGAACCAAAAATCCTTTACTATGATATTTGTATAAAAAGGGGAAAAGGAAGACCTTGAGAGAGATAACAAGACCATAAAAAATGGAACATAATTGGGTTTGCTGAGCATAACTTCCTGGTTTCTCTCCCATTCATTGTTTATGTTATTTTATGAATAATAGAATTGTAGTTTGTATTGCTCCACTTTTCGTATGTGGTGAGAACAAAATTCCCGGGGCTGAAAAACAGTTGTGTTCTTGGCAGTCACCTTCCCTGTCATGACACGACCCAGAACTCCCTGAGGCAAATCCACTTTATTATAGTAATTAACCTCTCCTGCAATATTATGTTTGCACTTGCAACTAACCAGAGAACAGTACATAAAACTCAAAGCAGAGGAGGGAATAATGCAATCCCTTCAAAAGTATTTTGCACCAAATTTAGTCAGACAACTGTGCATTGTACTGTGTATAACAATAACACAACATATTTATGCTAAAATATACATCTGTACCTCAGGCAATCTGTGTAAATTGGAAGCGGTTCAGAAGCCCACATTAGAACAAGGAAATTCAGGATGCATTCTAGGTTTTTCTTTTCTTTTTTGCAAGTTGTTGTATTATAGTAGGGATGTTTACACATATACAGACATGCACTCACACACTATTGAAAACTTGTCTTCTGCAAGTATGACAGCTTTCTCTTGAACGTTTCACAATATACCATTGATAGCTAACTTGAAGGACTGGTTAAGGACTCTGGACAGCTCTCTGGATTCTTTGTTCAAACAGAAAGAAAGGAGCTGCAGCTGCAGTTAATGAAAAGCTCGTGGGTCATCCCACATCTGTCAGAGAGTGTTCAGCAAACAGCACAGTGAAGGAGTGACATTTAAGGTTAGTGGGGGGTGGGATACAATTGCCTTGCTTAGTAGGACAGAACAGGCAATGTTGTGCAGCCTTAAAAATAGAAATAGTCCCACTGTTGCTTAACTGTACAAGTTCTATGCCTTATAGAACAAAGAAGACAAACTTGCAAAAAAAAATATAAAATACTATTGAAGTTGATGTTTTTGTTGTATCTGTACTATTTTTCAAGTTAAATATGGTGCAACTACTTTATTTATTATTAATTTTATTTACTTTGTCTTATCCTGCATTTCTCCTGATACATTTTATCCTGCCTTTCTCCTGTCTTTTCCTTTCCTCTCAAGGTAACAAACAATAATTGTATAACACAATGCTCATTAAAACAATATAAAATAATGTATATGATTAAAAACATTAAGCATTAAAATATTAAATTAAATATTAACTCTATGCCCAGCAGAATATCCCAGTCATACTATCCCTGAAAGCTCTATTAAAGCAACACTTTTATATATTTTAAATAGTAAGTTGTAATAAAACTTAAGGAATTATGCAGCTTTTATATGTTTCTCCCTCCTGAAGTACTTCCTTATGCATGGGGAATTGATTCCTAGAATTTGTGTAAAAACTATATTGAAATGAAGGACTTCATTTCAGCCCAAGTCCCTAATTTTAATATAGTTTGCTACTTTCTGTGGTTCAATAGACCAAGAATATTATAGAGTCACGGTGGAAGACCTGGCATATACCTACAGTGGACATATTTTGTTAGCTGTGAAACTGTGAGTCCTGGTCCTGTGGATACAGGGGTCATTCTGTACTTCTAATATTTTGAGATTTTTAAAATGTATTTATTATAATTTTTCTAGTCCCCGAAAAAATTTGTTTGACATAATTGATTAGGAGCTGTTTGAATATGCTGCTTTGGAGTGTGGTGGCATTCCCTTCTCTGGAGATTTTTAAACACACGCTGAATGGCCATCTTTTGGGAGTGCTTTCATTTTGTGTTCCTGTGTGGCAGAATGGAGTTTGATTGGATGGCCCTTGTGGTCTGTGATTCTAGCTATTAAGTGATTTTATTAAAAACAATATGTACACATATATAGAGAACAATTTCCAGAAACTCTTAGGGGTGTGCAAACTGTGGGATTCTTGAATCTGAATGATAAGGAAACCATTTTTTGGCAGAAAACAAAAAAAGTGGTGAATGTTTCTTCCACCTCTGGTGTTGAAGTGCCAATTCAGTATATTTTTATCATATTCTTAATAGTCCTCAGCTGAACCCCTCATTCTGTTCAGAATATAAGAATAAGCAATGAAACTCGTTAATTTTGAACATACAACCATATATAGTTTTTAAAATGTAATATGCCAAAGAGAGAGAGAGAGAGAGTCTGAGAAAAGCGGGATGTTCAGTTAGAAAAAAGACCCTTAGCTGTTCTCTGCCACTCTTTGTTTGCCTTAAGCCATATTTTCCCATGTGATTTAGTCCCTTTTTCTCAGAGTACCTTTCATTTCACTAAATGCATTTAGGCCCCAACAACTTTCTCTTTTTTATGTCAATCCATTAGTACCTTTGGTAGCTTTAGGAAAGTCTCATATCAAATCCCCTATTACAAATGATAATGACTTGTTTTTCTTTGAAAATCTTCTGGATTTATTTTGGGCTTGTTGGGTATAGAGAAAGGTGCCTGGTGAAAGAGACAGGGAGCAGTGAAGGCAAGAAGCTGAGTGTGAACTCCTTTAAATCTGTTAAGTTAAAAAAATGAGGAAATGCTACATTTTCAGGAAGTAGTGGCAGAAGCCATTTTTGTGCAGGGAGAAAGGCTGCTTTGTTCTTGCAAGTTCTGTTCTTCAGCTAATGCAGAATGCTGTGGTCATGCTGTTGACTAGGATGCTCAGCGTGTGCATCCATTGTTATGCTGGATTCCCTGTCTACCAATCTGTTACTAGACATATTTCAGGAAAGGTTGGGGTCAGTCTACTTGACAGACTCCAGGCTCCTTTTTGGTCTTGCCTTTTTAAAAACATTTTCAGAGGAAGAAGCACCCTCAGAGATCTTTTATGGAAGAGGGCTTTCTGTTAGCTGCTCCCAGTTATGATATTCCCTGCCAAGGGCTGCTTAGCTGCCCCTTCCCTGTTCTTCTTTGCCAAAAGACAAAATACCTTTTCATTCAGTCAGCCTTTGGCCAGTTCTGCTGGATTATGCAGCAGGCTTTGACTGGTAGTGGTTCTGGCTTTATTTATTTGTGTGTGTGTGCATCTTTCTAAGTGTTTACAATCTTCCTAGGAACTATAGAATGGAAAATGAAGCCCAGCCACAAATTGAATACATACTGGATTGTGAATAAAACCAGTTTAAAGTATGCACACAAGCACTCAAAGCCCTGCTGGGAGAAATCACATGAACATCAACACATCAAACAAGTGTTTGATTTGGCCATATGGGAGAGGCATCATGTGAAAATCAGATTGCTTGTTTTGGAAGTTGTTGCATCATTTATTGGCTATGTAGAGATTGTAATTACCAGGAACTGTAGCTCTGGGGAGTTTGCACAACATGTTACACAGTGCCTGGGCAACAGGCACATCATTTCTTCCAAGATTTCCATAATAATTTCTTACCAGTTTGGCTAACCAGGGAAGTTACTTTAGGTGTCTTAGGTGTTTTATGCTCAATATAAAACTGCTTAAATCCTCATTTTCAGTATTATACTGAAGAGTCTTTATTGGTTTCAATAAGTGAAGAAGCAGTCCCTTGTCATACCAGGCCTGATGCAACATTTGATGAAAATGAACAATGCATTTCAATTGCTTCCTATAATGTCACAATACTGAGTGACATTGTGCCTCTCTCCATTGCATCAAACCCTAGTTAAATCTTTTCCACATATAAGTCATGTGGCTGGACTATGCTACTTTGAACTAGAAAATTATCCAGTGAACAGTTTGGCCCTATTCTCCCAAATTCTCCATTGAAGGGGAAAGAAGTGTTGAGGTATGAGAAGCACTGCAAGCTTCCAGTATCTGGTAACACTGCAGAAAGTGTGAAGAAAAATTTGGGGATTAGCAGGTGAGTGGTCTAGTATGAAGGCATTATAAAATAAATAGATAGATAAATAAATACAATAAAAAGGAGCTGCGGTGGTGCAATGGGTTAAACCCTTGTGCCGGCTGAACTGCTGACCTGAAGGTCAGTGGTTCAAATCCATGAGATGGGGTGAACTCTCATCTGTCAGCTCCAGCTTTCCATGTGGGGACATGAGAGAAACTTCCCACAGGATGGTAACACATCTGGCCATCCCCTGAATAACGTCTCTGCAGACGGCAATTCTCTCACACCCGAAGCAACTTGCAGTTTCTCAATTCACTTCTGACATGATAAAAAATACAATAAAAATCAAATAAAAATTGAGCCCAAATATGAATTATGATAACCACGTAATGCATTTCTGAATCACATTTCTAATATTCTTTACCATCTCTTGTTCTGGGCATGTAGTCATACCTCCTGTCTTTTCTGTTTTGTACAAAAATGAAATAGTTGTGTTGTATCTAACAACAATAATTGAATGGATAGGCTATTGGCATAAATAAGGAATTATTGGGTTGTTGTCGGTTTATTGTTAATCAATAGTTTCCATGGACATAGCTTGAACTCCTAAA